CAGGCTTGGGCTTCAGTCAACATGGTTCATGTCACAGGAATTGAAAACCAAATGTTAACTAATTGTTTCGCTTCCTATTTGGTTATACTTACGTGAAACACCATGTATACTTATTCACTTCGGTTTGTTCTTTATTACCGAATTTTCTACAGATGTTTTACTGAGATCTAATAAATGCGAAGCATTTCTTAGCGAACTTCAGTGACTTTGAGCATATCTATCCTCTCTATCTATCTATCTATCTATCTATCTATCTATCTATCTATCTATCTATCTATATCTATCTATATATATATATATATATCTTTCTGTCTGTCTATCTATCTATCTATCTATCTATCTATCTATCTATCTATCTATCTATCTAGCCGCCTGCGCCTTTTAGCTCTGTTGGCCGTTTCGATAAAGCTATTGATACCAAACTTAGTATGACGTAACACGACTGTATAAAGAACATATTTGACTAGACATAACATCAAAATCGTGACATGTATGTCATGATTTACATTATATGGTCCTGCAGCTCTTGCGGTGGTTTTGTTCACATGGCTAGTTGCAAAACTGGTATGGTATGGCATGACTGCGTCGCTAACACAATCGACAGACCCTAACATGACAATTGTGACATGCGTGTTATGTAACAACATGACTACATGCCACGTTCATGATGCGCTCGCGGCCGTTTCGCTGTAGCGTCACATATACCAAATTGGGTATTACAGTACGTGAATGGATTACGAAGGTATGGGACTGGTGCAAACATGATAATCATGAGATGCGTGTCATGTAACAACATGACTACACGCCATGCTCACGATGCGCTGGCAGCCGTTTCGCTAACTTCACTTATACCAAATTTGGTATTACGAGGCGTGAATGGATGACGAAGGTATGCTACTGGGGCAAACATGATAAACCTGAGATGCGTGTCATGTAAGCACGTGACTACATGCTACGCTCATGATGCTCTCGCGGCCGTTTCGCTAGCTTCACATGTACAAAACTCGGTATTACGTGACGCGAACGGACGACATAGGTAAATTACACATCCAAACATGATAATCACGACATGCGCGTGTCATGTAACAAAATCACTACATGCCACACTGATAATGCGCTCGGGGCCGTTTCACTATAGCTTCACATATGCCAAAATTGGTATTACGTGACGCCAATGCATCACGAAGGTACGTGACCGCTGCGAACATGATAATCATGAGATGCGTATCATGTGAGAACATGACTACATGCCACTGTCAAGGCCCCTATACATTTCCACGTTACGCGGTACACGTGCTCGCCAGCGTTCATTTTGTTGCGTCACGCAGGCGTTGCCACGCCAGGCGCCGGTCCTGCCATATACGTGCAGGCGCGCGCCGCGCTGCGTTGCTTTGACGCATTAGCGTTTCAGTGCCTCCAGCGTCTCTCTGTCACAAAAACATTGCCCGCAGCTTCCCTCGGGGGAACACTGAGGAGGATGCGGAGCATATAATTGGTTAACGGGGTGTTAAAGTGCGACTTACTTGGGTCGATGGCTAAATTGGTTAACGTGGTTGTGAAATGGGGTGTTAAATTGCGACTTACTTGGGTCGCTGGCTAAATTGGTTAACGTGGTTGTAGGAGGGGTGTTAAATGAGTGAACACGTACGACACGTATGCGAAAGGGTTGGACGACGACTTGGTTGCGGTTCCGCCAACACTTTGGCCGGCGCTGGTCGAAGGGACGTCGATCATTGCGACCTCGGACGTCGACGCGCCGTACAAACCAACCGACGAGCGGCAACTGAGCGAGCGAGCACCGACCTTGAGTATATATACAGCGCGACGGCGCATGCACTGTCAGCTGTCGAATGTTCGAGAAGGGGGAGAAGCGCAACGGCGCATGCGCGCGCGTCAGCTGCCGATGTTCTCGAAGCGCGACGGCGCATGCGCGCGCGTCAGCTGCCGATGTTCTCGAAGCGTGACGGCGCATGTGCGCTACATTATACAGCTAGCGAATATTCGTGAAGAGGAGAAGCGCACGCGGTGTGTAGAGGAGGAAGGGTGCACAGATGGTGGAGGAGTGAAGCGCGCGCGGTGTGTAGAGGAGGAAGGGATGCACAGATGGTGGAAGAAGGAGGAGGAAGCTTGCGGACGGCGCCGCACTACAAGCCTCGAGTATTAGATGCTCCGCATCTAAAAAGGCAGATGCAGTGTTGCCTGGGTCGTAGAGTACAGACAGGCCTAGTATACACTAGAAGCCTCATATACACTCGAGGGGTCAACGCAGGCCTGATATACACTAGAGAAACTCTAGCGCTAGTGTCTATGAAAGCTGCAACGCATGGCGCTTCAGCGAGCATGAGAATGATGGGTAGTGTACACATTTGTCTAATCTTCGTATTTCTGGCCTGCTTTTGGCTCCGTGTGTGTTCGTGTGGCTTGGAGCTGTTTTCTCACAAAACAAAAATCAGCAAATGTTCAGCGCTTGCGCTTCACCACCTTCTCCTTTTAGACTTACCTTTCCAAATTGGGTCACGAAGTTCAAAAGGGTTTATTCTTTCTTTCAAAACTAAACCGAAACACAGAAATAAACGAAGCCGCAAGTATGATTCGCCGCCCTCAAGTACGAAGACTAGGCAAATGTGTGTACTGCCCATTATTCCCATGGTCGCTGAACAATGGCAGCGACAGAGTCCCCTCTAGGTAATTTTGGAAACTCTGTAGTCTGGGTAACGCATCGCCAAAAATGCCGGATTTCGCTTTGGCGCCGGTTGCCGTCAGGTCACGTCGACGGACGCTGGTCGTGCCGGTCGAGCCTGGAGTCAGGGTGCTCGCGTTTTGCTAACGTATATAGCGTCGCTGCGCCCACCGTGCGCGCGCGTCAATGCTACATTGGAGTATATTGGGCCGTTCATGATGCACTCAAGGCCGTTTTTCTAGCTAAAAATATAGCAAACTCGGTGTTACGTGACGTGAATACATGACGAAATATAAAACTGGTGCAAACATGATAATCCTCACATGCGTGTCATGCAAGAACATGACAGTATATCACGCTCATAGCGTGATCGCGGGCGTTTCATTAGCACGACGTATACTAAAATCGGTATCACGCGACGTGAGTAGATGAAGGAGGTAAATGACACATCAAAACATTATAATCATGACACGAAAGTCATGTACGGCATAATTTACCTCAACCTCGTAACGTTGTTTATCTCCACCTCGTAACCTTCCTCATTCGTGCTTCGCATATCATCTATTCCCACTGTACGTGGGATCTGCCAATTTTTCTGCTTTTTTTTTTGGTAACCGTAAACTATTCCTATTGCTAGGTAAGCACAGCTAGAAGGGGCAATAGTGAATAGCAGCGACATCCTGCCAGCGCTCCATGCCACTGCACCACGTCTGAGATGTTTCTGGGAGGCTCAAGTTTTCTCGGAGAAGCAATGATAATAGATTACACGTTAGCGAACACGTTGCTGCTGACGAACGCTTTACGCCAACAGGCAAATAAAAAATAAAAAATCGCTGTAGTTTTACATCCTCTATGAATTGTGAGCGCTCACTCTGCATAGTTATCACATTCACGTGATCTTTCAAAAACAATATCGCTACAAACATTTATGATGCTTTACACCTGCCGGGTGGTGTGGTGTTACGAAAGCGGTAGTATGATTATGGACATATTAATACGATACAGCGGTATTTGCGCAAACCTTTGGAGGCATCTTAAACTCGTTATTGCAAGTAGATGGCAGCGCATTAGCTCTTGCGCATCAAATTCACCACAGCCAGTGAGTCATAAAATTTAGTCCTGCTAGGATGAAATCTCATGATTTTCGAGCGCGAACTTGGAGGAGAAGGTTGATTTGTAGAATGTTTCAGCTAGTGCTTTTTGATAAACGGCAGTGTCCCTATCTAATATATAGGTGATCGCAAAGGATTTCTCGTCAGGATACCAATAACACATCGGCACCGGCCACAATTTGACCGAAACCTGTACACCAATTCCGAAATGTAGAGCTTTTATTTAACGGTCACATCTCGATACATGATGACCGCATACAGTTTCTCTTTCGAAAAAAAGGCCGAGACCTAGTAATTTCTGTATAGCTCAGGATTGCATTTAGTAGGAAGATGAAAAAATATATATTACGAATACAGTCATGCGGGGCCCTCTGGCTAAAGGTCAGGGAGCCGCGTATTTGAGACCCCTGCATTAACTGGTTGCCAAGTAGAGAGCGGCGCCCTTCAATCACGAAAGTGGAAAGCAAAAACAACTAACAGAGCATTGGTTATAAACCTGTCCTGTCAAGCAGATCCCAATAAGTTTTTCCAAACATGCAGATCTCTTGAGTTGAACGCGAATGCTTTAGTGCCTCAAGATGCTCAGAATCAACATATTGCTTTGCTCTGTATTCAATTGCTTCCCAGCGACAAGCCTATGTAAAAAAATACTTTGAAAGCAAAGTAAAACGCAGTTTTTCTCGCAGCAGCGCGCTCCTATACAGCCGCGGCGTACGCCTTCAAGTGAAAATGAGGATGCAACATAGTAAAGTGACAGGCGGGCAGTATATTATTGAACGTTTGCAAAATGAACGCTGTTTCCTCTGGTGTTTCTTCGTAAACGTAACAAGTTACCTTTACACATCTACCGAAGCTTCAAAAGGAACCCGGAACGCGGTTCCTCACAACGCAGTCCATGTTTCAGAGCTCAGCTCTCCGTTCGTTTACTTGAATCACAGGTGATGGCGCAGCCTGTCCGGCTGGTCGGCCGCGACCGCCTTCGCTACTTCGCAGCGAGGGCACGCGCCGCTCGGCGGGTTGTGTTCCTTCCGCCCTACTTCACGGCCGTTCAGTAGAGGTCGTCGGTCGGCCTTTCCGTTTGTGCAGCTGTGTTTGTTGCGCCTCGTATCGCTTACGCTGCCTTGAGGAAGTCGCCGCCTGAGCGTCGTTCCGAGAACTGTCTGGCATGTGTGAACTGCTACGTAAAATATAGTCACCGTTCTTTGGAAATGGATCCGTTGACGGCGCAGCAAACAGACGAGTACTTGGCACGTCTCGGTGTGCCTAAGAAGGAGCCTTTCACCGCCGACCTGGATTTGCTTCGAACCCTCATAGAGGCACACCTGCAACGCGTTACCTTCGAGAATATCGACGTTTTGCTGGGTCGACCGATTGCGCTGGACGTCAACTCGCTGTTCGCCAAGGTGGTGGAGCGCGGGCGTGGTGGCTACTGCTTCGAGCTCAACTCCCTGTTCGCTCGTCTTCTGCAAGCTCTGGGCTACCAGCTGCGTTTGCGCATGGCCCGAGTTCGCTGGGGTCTTCCTCGAGAAGCACCTATGACGCTTCAGCAGCACGTGGTGCTCATTGTGGACCTCCCCGAGGGCGAGCACCTTGTGGACGTGGGATTCGGTGCGGCCAACCCATACCTTCCGCTGCCCCTAAACGAAACGCAGGTCAGCGTGAACCACCCGTACTGGCTGCGACAGATCGGTGCTGAAGCTGACTGCGAACCTGGTACGCTGGAACTTTGTATTCGAGGCCGTGATGAGTGGATAACGCTGTACCGCATAGAACCGCGCGATCAGCGCTGGCGGGACTGTGTCCCACTAAACTGGTACACTTGTACGAATCCTGATTCTATAATGCGACGGGTGCTCATGATGGGGCGCACGGATGGAGAGGCGTGGCTCAGTTTGTTCAATGGTCGGTACAGGCGCCGCCTGCGCGTCTGTGGCGGCAACGCCGTGCAGAAGAGGCAGATCAAGGACGTGGACGACTTGCTTTCCCTGATCCAAACTGAGTTTTGCCTTCAGCTGTGCCCCGATGATTTGGAATCACTGCGTAGTCGCTTGTTAACATTTAACCTCGAGGAACTTCGCTTTTAACGGCGTACAACCTACGGCTGATCATGCCAGCCATACCGGCGCACAAGGAGCTACTCAAATGTAGAGCATCGCAGACGGACCCCCTTTTACGTACTGTTATGAGTTTTCGTTTGAATGGGTGCAAGTGTAGTAAGCTTTTGTTTTCAAGTAATCTCCAATTGAGTGCCATTTTCAGTGATGAGGTTCATGCAATTACCATTACCGCTTCTCGTGATTGAAATTGAGTATATCTTCAGCTTCGAGGACAGCTTGAAACAAGACGAAGGTGTGGGAGGAGCCTGGGGTAAGTGGCAGAACTAAATATTCGGCAAATTACAGCTGAAAAAGAAGAACATAACAGGATAATCACATTAATGTATTTTTGAAGTTTATAAAATACACTGAAGGGAAGAGAAAGAGATCCCCAATCCCGGACTCTGCTTAGAAAAAAAAACGTATTGCACTTGCAAAAGTAGACTCCTTTCCTGCACTAGACCAAGAACGTCCGTGTTATTGGTAATCAAGAAAATGTTTCAAAAACTTAACTCAGGTGGCAAAGTTCTTTTATACATTTTGCATCAGCTCGCCACTACTTCGGTGATATTGACACAATGTGCAAGTGCCTATATAATTGTTTGTTTTTGAAAATAAAGTACTTTTTTTCTTAAGAGACCTGAAATTGGCACAAATTTTCAACACTGGTTTAGCCAAATAATATATATTCAAAACAGTGTGAAAAATACACTATGGTATTCATAATTTTCAACTGGCGTACATCCTTTTAAGTTTGGCGTGGAACTGTATGTACTCATCTCCTCTCATTCTCCCTATTGTACCCCACGACTTGATCTTTTTTTATATGTAAAGTATACCTTAGTGAAGTAATGACACTTAGGCAGTTTCTACTTCTCTATCTATGTAGCCGTCGGCATCTGGGGTCTGTCACTGTAGTTTCTCAAAGCATCTAAATTAGCATAAGAAAACAAGAACGTGCGATTCACGATTCAAACGATGAGAGAGAGAGAGAATAAAATGAGGGAAAGGCAGGGAGGTTAACCAAAAAATGGAGCATCCGGTTTGCTACCCTGCACTAGGGGAAGGGGAATGGGGAAAAAAGATTGGAAAGAAAGCGAAGAGGGAAATAGACGCGCGCGAAAAAAAAAAGGGGGGGGGGGGGAGTGCTACAGTCTATACAACAGGCCGCTGCCACGCAAAAAGTTCAGTAAGGCTTTCTCTGATTTTCTGTGAGCACACAAATCATGTCGTCTTTCCAGCACTGATTGTTCAGACAAAGGTCTGTCGTCAAGGCGAGCTAACGCAGCAGCTAGTTGCCGTCTTTGCACGCTGTAACGAGGGCAGTGACAGAGAACGTGCTCTATAGTTTCATTGCTGCCGCAATGACCGCAAGCAGCACTGTCTTCCATTCAAACGATGAACTTTGCCTATCGCGTACCTCATGACACTCTTCCCACCAACCACACGTCATACTTTGCCGCATAAAACTGCGCGTTGTTTACGGGTATGCACCGCAGCTGATTCATAGTCTATAACAACCCGGGTGCTGTAACATTATATACGATGGCAATCTTTCCGAAAAAGCGTTAAAGGGCTGTATTCACAGAATAACCTGTGCTGGCACCAACGTCGTGTCGATGAGCGAATATTGTAGACAGAAGCAAATAATACAAGTCGTGGCGCAACTCGGAATCGAACCCCGGAATGACAGTCAAGTATCCCACCACATTACGCCATTTGTAGAAACTGATTAGAAAAAAAAGAACGCTTAAAACAACATTTTGGGGCAACGCCAACTGTAGTTGCAGTGTCGGCTACCCGCTTGCATTAATATAAACGAATGCTACTTGCGATATGCATCTCGCACTATGGCTTGCACATCGTTGCGATGAAACTGAGATGACTGCACTAACGTGAAGGCCGAAGTTACATCAGACCAAACACTGCCCTTAACATACCAGTGTAGTCGACGTGCCTATGCATATAAGCAGAACTCCCGAATTTACACAATAACGTTGTATAGCAATAGTTGCCTTTCTTCGCTCAAATTGTATTAGTTTCATTCTGAAACATTACTGCGGTTTGTTTGGTTGCTAGACATGACAGCTTTGTAACAGCTGAGCTGTTAGTGGTTCTAGCTTAACACTTATGTGATTGTTGGGCGTCGCTGCTGTACTAGACCATCAGCAAATTCAGGGGTCTCAAAAACGCGGCCAGTTGACCTTTCACCAGCGGTTCCCGCATGACTATCTCCTGTCCCATAATTTTTCACCGTCTAATAAGTGTACTCGTAGACTACACAGACATGAGTGGGCTTGGGCAATTGTTTCTTTGTTTTTGGTTTATTTAGTGAGGTACCCCTATGCGGTTTTTATGTGCTCAAACATGACCGCGAAAGATGAGCTCCATATTTCAATATCGGCGTCCAGGTTTTAGTCAATATGTTGTCTGCAGCGATACTCTGTTCGAATTCTGACGTTAAACCCCCTTCGATCAATTATATATTAGATAGGGGCACTGCCGCCTTTCATGGGGAAACAATAGCCGAAATCCACAAATAAACCCCATGCCCACCTACCCCCACTTCGCTATGGAGAGTCTCGCTAATAAAAGTGAGGAGATAATATTACAAAAATGAAGGCAGCATGAAGTCAATGACATAGAATTCCCTCTCATGTGAAGCTCGTTATGGTATTTCTCGTAATGAGTTAAATCGGTTGAATAAATCACCCAATTATGTTACATTTCTATTATTCGCTTTAGGGCCAATTGCGCTTCGACACATCGCAAAACGCATTCAAGGAACAACTGATTCTTTTTTTTCTTTGGGTCACGTCGACGCTGCGTGAGGAATATTTTTCGGCTTTTAAGGAAAGCCCGTAAAGAATTAAACTAAACCACCTTCCCAGGCTGTTAAAAATTACAATAAAGCACAAATATATTTTAGGAGTACGTTTATAAAGACATCGCGATGAAAAGACTGGCAAACTATTATGCAGAGACATACACAGTACGTGAAAATATTTCCTGTTACGTAAATGCTTGTTTTATTGCATATAACATCGGCACCGATAGTGCAATGGTTGTTATAATCTAATTCGCATGCAAGTCAAACTCATCGTGTGTAAATTATGCTTACATTTACATGATCTTTGAAAGCGCTGATGTGCAGAAGTGACGAGATGCAAACCATTATTGTTGCATTTTTGAGACTTTAGCAACAAAACACCGCGCGAGACAAAATTCGATTACGGCCCCATTGCGGCACCAGATTTTGAGTGAAGGATCCCGCATGCATTCGAGTACGCTGCACAGTATATCGTGGCACATTATACATATACACGTCACATTAGTCCTGAAATAGGGCATATCAAAAACGTTAACACGATACTATCGTTAAGGAAAATCTCATTGCCCAATAAACACAGACACACTGATATGTTTCTTAAACAGCATCACCACTCTACATTGCCCCTGCCGCGGTGGTCAAGTGGCTAAGGTACTCGGCTGCTGATACCACAGGTCACGGGATCGAATCCCGGCTGCGGCGGCTGCATTTCCGATGGAGGCGGAAATGTTGTAGACCCGTGTGCGCAGATTTGGGTGCACGTGAAAAAACCCCAGGTGGTCGAAATTTCCTGAGCCCTCCACTACGCCGTCTCTCTACGTTATTATAAAAGAGCTGCATTTTTTAAACTATAAAAAAATTATGAACCAGTTTTCCTGCGAAATTTCATGCGTTCCGTTTTGAAACTCTAAATGAAATTCAGAAGACATAAATGTTGCTTAAAATAGGCGCCATTGTGTGTGTGTTTTGTAAGAGTTATTGCCTATTATTGAGAATCAATGCATGACGAGCATCCCCATCATCGTCATCAGCCTGCCTATGTCCATTGCAGGAAAAAGGCCTCTCTTATGTTCCGCCAGTCAACTCAGTCTTGTGCTGGCAGCTGCCAGTTTATACCCGCAAACTTCATTATCTCATCTGTCCACCTCACTTTCTGTCTCCCCCTAACCCGCTTGCCTTCTGTGAGAATCCAGTCAGTCGTCCCTAATTACGAGCGGTTATTCGGCCTACGTGCTACATGTCCGGCCCATGTCGATTTCTTCTTCTTGATTTCAACTATGATATCCTCAACCCCGGTTTGTTCCTTGACCCACCCATCTCTCTTCTTGTCTCTTAGAGTTGCGCCTATCATATTCCTTTCCATCCTTCACTGCGTCGTCCTCATCATCATCATCATCAGCCTGACTACGTCCACTGCAGGACAAAGACCTCTCCCAGGTTCCGCTAGTTACCCGGTCCTCTGCTTGCTGCTTCCAATTTATACCCGCAAACTTCTTAATCTCATCTGCCCACCTAACCTTCTGTCTCCCCTAACTCGCTTGCCTTCTCTGGGAATCCAGTTAGTTACGCTTAATGACCAGCGGTTATCCTGTCTACGTGCTACATGCCCGGCCCATGTCATTTTCTCTTCTTGATTTCAACTATGATATCCCTAACCCCCGTTTGTTCCCTAATCCACTCCTGCTCTCTTCTTATCTCTTAAGGTTACACCTACCAATTTCCTTTCCATTCCTCGCTGCGTCATCCTCAATTTAAGCTGAACTCTCTTAGTAAGTCTCCAGGTTTCTGCTCCGTAGCTAAGTACCGGCTAGATACAGCTATTATATACCTTCCGCTTAAGGGACAGTGGCAATCTACTTGTCATAATTTGAGAGTGCTTGCCAAATTGCTCCACCCCATTCTTATTCTTCCAGTTACTTCAATCTCGTGGTTCGGTTCCGCGGTTATTACCTGCACTAAGTACAGATAGTCTTTTGCAATTTGAAGTGCACTATCACCTATCTAGAAGCGCTGCTCTTTTCCGAGGTTGTTGTACATTACTTTGATTTTGATCGTCCTCAATTTAAGCTTAACCATTTTTGTAAGCGTCCAAGTTTCTGCTCTCTTGGTAGATACCGGCGAGATGCAGCTGTTATATACCTTTCTCTTGATGTTTAGT